TTTCGAGTTAGACGCAACAATATCGACCTTGACGTTACATGTAAATATTGACTGATTTTTCCATAAAAACTAGGCGAAGGTCACAAATTCAAATTATCGTAATTAAGAAAATACTGAGCGTAAGAAGGCCTGTAAAGGCTTGTTGGAAAGGAAATTTTCTCTACTTTTACCAGCTTTATTTTGTTTTCCCTATTTCAATACAGAAATAAACGTAAAACTGAGCTTTGTTTAAACATTACGAATAAAATCGAGAAAAAACACATTACTGCAAGAAAATTCTTATTTTTAAAACATACTTTAAAGTAATAACAATAATTTTTACATATTTTAAAAGCATTGGAAATATGCTTTAAGAATATACCATACTTTTTTTTATAAAGTTAATCAGGAAAAAATGTCAATCGTTTGGAAAATGGGCAATTGCTTTGGAAAATTACGCCATTATCAAAAAGTCACGTTTGTCTTCACAACGTAAAATCGATTATATACCGGCAATAAAGACAAAATCTTTTTAGATATTTTAAAAGTAGAGAAAATTTCCAAAAAGATGATATATAGTTTATATACCTTCGTGCTACCATAAAATAGATACGGAGATCTTATTTTCGCGAAGTCGTGTTTTAACGCGCCACAGGTCAATTTGACCGGTACGGAAGTTAAGGGGTTAAGATATTATTAGGTATTTGTAAAAAAATTGTCGTCGTCTTTTGACCCTGTTAATTTTATTAGGCCATAAAACTAAAAGTTAGAAGTTAGGTTTTCGATAAATAAATGTAAATAAGGGGTTTTAATTTCCCTAGGCCTTTTCCCCCGGCTAGGTTGGGCTAGCGTTTCCGTACGCTAGGTTGGGGGTGATTTTTGCTGGGTTTCAAAATTAGGGTTTATTTTTTTACCAGGCAGAAATTTACAGTTGTTATTTTTTTTTTATATACCATTTTTTTGTTTGTCTATACAAAGGTTAAATAAATTTTGTTATTGAAACTGGTGTTCATTGCAGTTGACACGAGGTGTTGAAATAAGGTACAAACAGGTTCGGAAATAAGACAAAGCAGAATCTCAAATCAAAATAAGAACCTGGGAAATTATATTTATTTGAAAATAGGAGAGTGTTGAAAATATTCTAGAACCACTAATGACAATGGTGTTCTGAGACATTACTCCTATTACACCTTTTTATTGATTTTTTTGAGTTTATTATCTCCAAATATAATAGTTGATATTTGTCTTTACTTCTCTTTATGCATAAAGGTAATGTCTACTATATATGAAATTCTATTCTTTATATTTAAGCTATTTATCTGTGGATATACTAAAACTTGTCATTAATGTGTTCAAATTATAAAGTCCTAAATGAAATCCAAGGGAGTGCATTTACTGAAAACTTAAGCCAAAATCAGTGTGATTAAATTCTAATGAATATATAATTGAAATTCAACGCATCTCAATGTTGCCAAGAATACCAAGAATACCCGTATCAAGTAACACACAGTGAGTTATTTTTGTCCTCGTAGAAAGAATTAGACCCTATTCCCGATGATGCTTAACAAGATTTATTTATTCTTTCAACTTAGTGTAACTCTACAGTTAGTTTGCGTTACCATCTTTCGAACAACCCACATAACTATACATTGCTAACGCCTTTATTAATTTTTTTCCCAATAACTAGTCCTGAAACATTTCAAAATTTATAATAGATTATAATTCATATGTTAAAATATCCCTTCTATGTAGTGATCAGACATTGCTTATCTTAACTTAATCCTATAACTGTAAGCTCCGCCTAAACGTGATGATGGACATTACTCTACACGTGCTTCAGTGACTTTATCTTAAGTGTTTTTCTTGATGTTCAGTAGTCGCTTGTATTCTGTTATATGTTTAATATGTGTTTACTTAGATAAAGATTATCAACAAAGAATTACAGACTTCCTTATGTATTAAAAGGAATATAACATGGTGTCAGAAGTGACTGTGAACTTGTGAAAAAAAATATAATGTGAATGTTTCATCTTTTATTCGGTGGAGAGAAATTAACCAGCAAGGCAGAAGGTCATTTCAAGCAACCTCCGGAGATGGACTTCTCTCACGAAGGAAACTTAGCAGAAAAATGGAAACAAACTATGAATCTATACATGGATGTAGCCCTCAGTGACAAAAGTGAAAAAGAAAAGTGTAAAGCTCTTCTATATGTGATGGGTCAGGAGGGAAGGGAAATCTACAACACATTTGCATTCGCTGCAGGTGATGTAGACAAACTGGATGTTTTAATCAAGAAATTTGAAGATTTCTGCATCCCAAAAACAAACATAACAGTTGCGAGACATAGATTCAACACAAGGGTACAAGGACCAAGTGAAAGCATTGACCAGTACATCACAGAATTGAAATTGATTGCGAAAGACTGTGGCTTTGCAGACCTCGAGGATGGCTTAATTAGAGACAGAATTGTCTGTGGAACATCTTCATCTAGAGTGAAGGAACGACTTCTTCGCGAGGACAACCTCAGTCTTGAGAAAGCAGTTAGTTTATGCCGAGCAGATGAAGAGTCCAGAAAACAAATCAAAACAATCAACGAGGAGGAAAAAGTACATGCTCTCAAAAGGAAATATGTGAAACAAAGAAACCCTGACAGTAGACAAAAAGGATATCCAAACAAAACAAGTCAAGAAATGTTCTACTGTGGAAAATGCGGAAAGAAACATGAAAAACGAAATTGTCCAGCGTACGGAAAAACCTGTTACAAGTGCAAGAAATCAAATCACTTCCAAAAATTTTGTAAATCGAAAGGATTCATAAAAAGGAGAGTGCATAATTTGCAAGAAGGATCAAGTGATTCAGAATGTGAGGATTACAATTACTTTGTTGAAGCGGTCAACAAGAAAACTGAAATATCTGATAACTCATGCTTCACCAGTTTCAAAGTTCAAGGTAAGACAGTTAAGTTCAAAATTGACACTGGATCCCAGGTTAATATACTTCCAAACTCAATCTTCCAAAAGCTGAATGATGTCAAACTCACAAACACAAATACAACGTTAACGAGCTATTCAGGAGACAAACTCAAGGTGTTAGGAAAATGTCAACTCCGCCTACAAAACAAGGAACTTGAATTCTTTGTAACAGAAACAGACCAGTTTCCACTGTTAGGATTTAAAGCCTCAAATGAATTGGGACTTATTCATGTTGTCATGAACGTTCAATCTGAATTGGAAAATCCAATTTAAGCATTTCCGAAAGTATTTTCAGGACTAGGATCTCTGAAAAAACCCTTTCACATTAAACTGGACGAGTCGACAACTCCGGTCATTCATCCTCCGAGAAAGATACCTACAGCTTTACGTGATAGATTGAAAACAACTCTTGATGAAATGGAGGAAAAAGGTGTTATCCGAAAAGTTGATGAACCTACAGACTAGGTCAACTCATTGGTAGTGATTGAAAAACCAAAATCAAAGAAACTGAGAGTATGCCTTGATCCAAGATCCCTAAATCGTGGAATCAAAAGGGAACATTATGAACTTCCTACTATAGAGGATATTACTACACGCATGTCAGGAGCAAAATATATGAGCAAACTTGACTGCAATCATGGCTATTGGCAAATCCCTTTAGACAGAGAGAGTCAACTTCTTACGACATTCAACTCTCCATTTGGCAGATATTGTTTCCTAAGAATGCCATTTGGGATTAATTCGGCCCAAGAAGTATTCCGAAAACGAGTATCACAACTGTTTGATGGAATCGAGGGAGTAGAAACTGACATTGATGACATTCTGGTTTGGGGAAAAACAAAAGAAGAACACGATAACAGACTGCGTGAAGTATTACGCAAATGTCAAGAAGTAGGTCTCACACTCAATGCAGAAAAATACAAATTCAGGATGAAAGAAGTAACATACATAGGACATCTACTCAGTGCAGAGGGAGTAAGGCCAGAAAAAGAAAAAATCATAGCCATAACTGAAATGCCAGCACCTACAGACAAAAAAGGAGTTCAAAGGCTACTTGGAACTGTATATTACCTAGCAAAATTTGTTCCTAACATGTCAGCTATGACAGATCCAATCAGAAAATTATTAAAAGAGGAAAATGAATTCGTGTGGACACATGAACAAAATTTGGCAATGGAGAAAATAAAAGAGGTGTTGACGAGCAATCCTGTTCTCAGTTACTTTGATGTGAAAAAACCAATTACAGTTAGCTGTGATGCATCAAACGCTGGGTTGGGCGCAGTTCTCTTACAGGAAGGGAAACCGATAGCTTATGCATCAAGATCTTTATCAGATGCTGAAACTCGTTATGCCAACATTGAAAGAGAGTTATTAGCAGTTTTATTTGGTTTAGAAAGATTTAACCAATACACGTATGGCCGAGACGTTATCGTAGAGTCAGATCACAAACCATTAGAGTCCATTGTGAGAAAATCTTTGGGAGACTCGCCGCCAAGACTTCAAAGAATGCTGCTCAGACTGCACAAATATGATTTCACACTAATCTACAAACCAGGGAGAGACTTAATAGTACCGGATATGCTGTCAAGAGCACCGCTTAACAGATCTGATGGTCAGATAATCGAGGAAGAAATTGAATGTTTTGTAAACATGATAGTTCAAAACATGCCCCTTTCTCACGACCAAGCGTCAAAGATTAAACAGGAAACAGAAAATGATGAAATCATTAAAACACTGACAACGCTGATAAGAAAAGGATGGCCAACAGAAAAAAGAGAAGTTCCAAAAAACTTGCAGATTTATTGGCAATACAGGAATGAACTCTCAGATATAAATGGAATTATCCTTAAAGGAGAAAACATCTTGATACCATCTCAAATGAGAAACCAAATGCTCAAAAAGTTACATGAAAGTCATTTAGGTATAGAGAAAACAAAGAAACTAGCAAGAGAATTCATATTTTGGCCTGGAATAAATGCAGAAATAACTGATGTTGTATCAAAATGCAGCATTTGTCTTGAAAACAGAAACTCGCACACATAAGAGCCAATGAAGATTTCAGAAATACCTGACCTACCATGGAAAGCAGTAGGAACAGATTTATTCCACTGGAACAACAACAATTATCTAATGGTTGTTGATTATTACTCAAGATATTTTGAGATAGCAAAGCTTGAAAATACAAAAGCTACATGTGTCATCAATCATTTGAAATCAATTTTTGCAAGACATGGGATTCCTCAATATGTTAGGAGTGACTGTGGTCCACAATACACATCAGCAGAATTCAACATGTTCAAGAAATTTGCAGAAGAGTGGGGATTCACACATCAGAAATCCAGTCCAAACTATCAACAGTCAAATGGTCTTGCAGAGAGATTCGTGCAGAGTGCAAAAAACATGCTAAACAAAGCACACAAAGAAGGCAAAGATCCGTATCTGAGTATGCTAGCATACAGGAACACACCAATTGAAGATGTAGGATCACCGGCGCAACTTCTGATGAATCGAAGACTCAGATCTACAATTCCAGCAACAAACAAAATACTTCGACCAAGATGCGTAAATCTGAAAACAACTAGAGAAAAAATACAAAACTCGAAGCAAAAACAGAAGTTTTACTACGACAGAAATACAAAACCATTGGAGTACCTGAAGAAAAACGAAACCGTCAGAATTCAACTTGAAAAAGGAGGAAAATGGAACCCTGGTAAAATAGTTGACAATCATGATGTCGAGCCTAATTCGTTTCACGTGAAAACAACAGAAGGTGCAATTTACCGACGGAACAGAAGACACATTATGAAAACCAAAGAAGACTTCGATGATAAAGAAATCGAAATCGAAGACAATCCAGAGATCGTTGCGAATGAGACGTTTCCTGGAAATAATGACAACGTAGATAACCGAGAGACAACTCCAGTTGTAAGAAGAACATGAAGAAGTGGTAGGAATGTGAAACCACCAAAGAGACTGATAACTGAAATTTAGATAATTAATCTGGGAAGTGTTTAAGGGACACAATAATGCCCTTACCCAGAATGTATAAGGAAGACCAGGCAGTCTACCTGATCTTAGATTTATATGTTATATTTGTAGCGTAGATATATTATTTTTCTTTTATTGTTTTATTTTAGATTATTCATGTTATTCTGTAGTTTTAGTTTAAATGTAGCATTCTACTGCATTGGTCACTTAGATAGATTTATTGGAGGTTTGACCCAGACTGTGGACAGGTCATGGGAAGCTAGCAGTAATTGAGTAAGGAGGAGAAAGTTAGGCGATTATAATCAGTGGGAGGAGAGTGTTAGTGATTAATTACGTCTAGACAAAGATAAATGGATCGAGGGGAGTCAAGTGGAGTAAGAGGAGTCAATAGAGTATATAAACGGGATAATTAAATAATTAGTGAGATTTTGATGTGGGATTTTGATATAGAGGTAGCGATAGAATTAGATATAGGAGTGATTTTATAGTGCCTTTCATTCATTAATATTTTGGATTTATTTTGTTTTAATTTCTTTGGATTATATTCTATTTTACTTTGGATTTAATAAACATTTGTAATCAGTTATTGAGTTTTATTACGAGGAAAAACCTATATGATTTTATACCCAAGGATTATTATATTGCCATTGGATTTTTTACAATAGAAGGAATTAACTTAGACCGCTCGGAAACGTTACAAATGGTGGCATGCGTCGGGATTCATTAGATTCTTTGGATAATTTGTGAATTTTATTGTGAATCGAAATGGATCTAAACGGACCTTAATTCGCAAATGTGTTGGATTATTGTGATTCTGAATATTTGATTTTCATTGGATTTATTTAATTCATATTACTGGATTATTATATGTGATTTGTGTATCATATACTTTTCGTAGTTATGGATGTATACAGATTCGCAAACGTGTATGACTATGATGACAATGGAAATTTAGTGCATATTGGAAGGATTACAATTCACGATAAAAAGGAGTGTCCAAACTGTTATTGTATGTTTAAAGTGAGTGAGAACCGTTTTTCACTTGTCACGGGAAAAGGAGAAATCAGTGAGTTCTTAAAATGTCCGTTTTGTAAGTGCAGGATTAAAGCATATACAAAACATCGTACCAGTGAAATGTAAGAGGAAAAAAATGGATGAAACTTCGTATTCATTAATGGATATGGAAATGACAAATTGTGACAGAACTCCGAAACAAAGGACACCAGGACTATTTTCAAATTCAGGAATTTCAAATGTCAGGCGAAGATTGGAGGATTCATTTGTGGACGAACATTCACCTCAAATTGTTCAAAAAGGTAGACTTCAGGAAGACAATTCTTCACATTCAAAATGGAATATGTTTACATTTTTTTGGATTTTAATGTTTTTCTGTGGATGTGTTTCTGTTCTTGGATTATATCGTTATTTTCCGGGTTACATGCTTCTTTGCTTGACCAAGGAATTTCTTATTTCTGTGGGAATTGTTGCGCTGTGTTTAGTGATCATAAGTTTGATTGCTAAAGTTTCTAAGGGAACAATCAAATCAGAAAATGGATGGAATATCTATCAAACAACACCAGGAAATTATGGCAATGACAAAGAACGCAATATTGGAACACCAATTCAGGAATTCACACATCAAGTCAATGTTAAGCGTACTTTCAGAGGAGATGGAAATGAAATCTGGACGGAATTCATAAGATATTTTGAGAATGTTGCTGTTCTCAATAACTGGAATTTTGATCGTAGAAGACGAATTTTATTTACTACCTTAAGAGGACAAGCTGAAACATATGCTTATGGATTATCAGATGTACAGAGAAATAGTTATGAGGAACTTGTCAAGGCAATGGATTATAGATTTGGACATAAGTCAATGAAGGAAAGTTGTATTGCAGAAGCTAAACTTCGAAAGAGAAAAGAACATGAATCTTATAGAGATTTTGCTCAGAGTCTTGAGGATTTGTATCGTCGTGCACATCCAGAGAGCCGAGAGTATGTACAGGAATGCAGTATGAAAACATTTCTAGATAACTGCAGTGAATCTGAAAGTTTTAGACTAGCAGTTAGGAGAAGTAGACCTAAAACTCTACAGGAGGCTGTGACTTCTGCAATGCAGGAAGAGTGTATACGAATAAGCGAGCAACAGAATAGAGAACCAAGGACTCAGAAACCCAGGATTTACCAGATTAGTGATCAGTCTTTTGAGAGAAATCAAAATGAAGTCATTAGACGAGATACAAGAAAAAGATGCTTCAATTGTAATTCTACTCAACATTTACAAAGAACCTGCCCAGCAATTAAAAGAAATCTGCAAACCAGACAGAGTAAAGAGAACAAACCCATCAATGATGCCATAAAGTTAGAGGAGAGATCGTTAAACAGCGGGAGACCGAGGCAATAGGCCGTGCTCCGGTCTGCGATATTGATAGGCCTAATACGGGGGGAGTAAATCACCATAATTTACGAGTAGTTAATAACAGAGCTCATTAGGAACCATGTAAAGATGATTTCAAGGAAGTGAAGCTCAATGAAAGTAATTATTGTGATATTCTTAAGAAAACAACGTGTGAAATTCAGATTCCAGGGAAAAGTGGATTTTTGGTCAATGGACTAATTCAAGGAACACAAATAACTTGGAAAATGGATACTGGAGCAAAGAAAACTTTCATAACAGAGGAAACTTTCTATAATATACCTCCAGATAACAGACCTGTGCTAGAGCCAGTGAAGAGTAAATTCTTTTCTGCGGATGGAAATAAATTAATGCTCTTGGGAACAGCTAAAATGTTGCTGACATTTCAAGATATTAGTATAGAATTTAGGGTTTTTGTTGGGAGTGTTACACATGATTTGTTGGGAGAAGATTTCTTTCTGAGATTTAAATGTAATTGGAATCATCAATTAGGAGCATTAAACATGGTTTTTGATTCTGAAATTAAAGAAGAATGGTATCCATCTAGGAAAATTTATACTTTGGATTCAATTACAATTTCTGGAAGACATGAAGCAGTAGTAAGATCAAGCATTACTAATATTAATGGAGAAAATGGAATTCCAATGCCGTTAACAACTTTTGTGAATTCGCATGGAATAGGAGTGACAAGAACATTGGTTGATTCACATAGTCCAGAGATTTATGTTCGATTATACAATCCAGGAAACAATTCTGTAACAGTGAAGAAGAGTACAGACGTAGCATTATTTATTACAGTGAACACTGTAAGTCAGCCGATTAGTGATGAAGAAATTATGATAGGTGAGATTTTCCAGTCTGAGAAAGAAGACATTCCAGAACATTTTAAGCCAGTTTATGAGAATGGAAGACAGAATTTAAGTTTTGAAGAATCAGAGATATTTAAAAAGTTTCTAATTGAACGAAGAGATATGTTTGCTGATCCAAATGGAGTACAACCATTGGAAAGAATAGCATTAATCTGAGTGATGAAACACCATTTAAGGAGGCGCCGAGACGAGTACCAATATTTAAGCGAGAAATTCTTGATCAGGAGATAGAGAAATTACTTGAGCAAGGAATTGTGGAGAAATCCAGCAGTCCATGGTCGTCACAACTTGTTTTGGTTCAGAAGAAGGACAAGAGTTGGCGAGTTTGTGTGGATTATCGTCGATTGAATGCTAAGACAATAAAGGACGCATATCCGATACCAAGGATAGATGATAATTTGGATGCATTGGCTGGATCGGAATGGTTTTCATCATTAGATTTGAACATGGCGTATCACCAAGTACCGATGTTGAATAGGGATAAAGAGAAAACTGCATTTGCTACACCACGAGGAGGCTTATTTCAGTATACTGTCATGCCATTTGGACTTTGTAATGCACCTGCGACATTTCAAAGAATCATTGAAAGAGCATTGAGTGGATTGCAATGGAATGTAGCTGTCTTATATCTTGATGATATAATTGTCTATGGGAAGAATTTTGATGAGCATTTGGGAAATTTACAGAAAGTATTTGATAGACTGGAGGAGACGAATTTGAAGTTGAAAGCAAAGAAATGTTCATTTTTCAAAAAGGAAGTGTCTTTTCTTGGATATGTTGTATCTGGAGTAGGAATCAAAATAGATCCTGCTACAATTGATGCTGTTAAAAGAATATCCGTACCAAAGAATGTTACAGAATTGAGAAGTTTCCTTGGATTGGTTTCGTATTACCGAAAGTATATTAAGGATTTTGCCAAGATTGCAAAATGTTTACATTTTCTCACAAGTAAAAATAGTAAATGGAATTGGACAACTGAATGTGACGAAGCCTTCTGTGAGCTAAAGCAAAAACTACAAGAAGCACCTATATTAGGATACCCAGACGTAAATGGTGGATCTTTTATACTGGACACAGATGCAAGTAATGAAGCTATAGGATGTGTTCTATCTCAAATTCAGGATGGAAGAGAAAGAGTTATTGCTTATGGAAGTCGAACTCTTAGTTCAGCAGAGAAGAACTATTGCGTGACGAGGAAAGAGATGCTTGCTGTAATTTATTTTGTAAAATATTACAAACATTATTTGTTGGGAAAAGAATTTGTACTAAGAACGGATCATGGTTCGTTAACGTGGCTTCATAAATTTAAGGAACCAGATGGGCAAATATGTCGTTGGTTACAACAACTTGGACCTTTTGTATTTACAATTGTACATCGTCAAGGGAAACAACATTCAAATGCTGATGCCTTATCCAGATTACCGATAGAAAACAATAGTTGTCAAACTATGTGTAAGCAGTGTAAACAAACAGATCATGGTGAATATAATGGTGATTTAGTGACACATGTGAATGATTTGCGTGGAACTATCAGTGAAAATATTACAAAAGAAGTCATATGTGACATTTATCATTTATTCAATGTGACTAGTGATGAAAATAATGACGATGTGGATTCTGAAAGAATTTCAAAAAGAAGAAATCGACCAAGACGTGCTAAACAAAGG